AAGCGTTCTTTTCATATCAACAATAATATATTTATTAATGAAGGATTCCCATCATGCATGCGCAGGAAGAAAAAAAATCTTAGGAGGATAATTAATTGGGTTGATTGGATATCCAAGTCATGAAATGGTTAAAGTAGATCCAACGATTATTTTATTTTATTTTTAACAAATAGGATCCGCATTTAAAATAACTAAATAGAGTGTGTATTTGAATTTCTAAAAAATTATAATAATAAAATTTACTTAGATTTCGATCAAAATCCAGATTTATGAATTTTTAGATGGGTCTGACCCAAATAAAAAAATTACCTCTAATCTAAACATGGCATTAGTTTTGTATCTCTATAAATAGGAATGTACACTGAGTAATTATAAAGAATTTAATAGAATCATAATGCAAGTTTGACAGTACTATAGATACATAGTTAAACTAGATAATCTTCGTATTCCAGCTAAATATATAAAAAAAATTAGAATTGTATTAAATAGTAATATTAAATATGTAAATGAGTTGGCTGTTAAGTAAATAAGGTTGAAGATAATAAAAAGATTAAAAAGTAAAAATGTCATAGACCTTTTTCATTAGGAACGCATGATATCTTAAATTTTTTTAAAACATTTTTGACCCAAAAGTTAAAAAAAAAAACATTTTCATCTCATCATTAAATATTAAAAACATTGATTGTTATACTGAAGTTTGATCTAAAATATTTTTGTATTTTGCCCCCTTTCCTTCAATGTTCAGTCTCTGATTTCATTATTTAGTGAATTCTTTAACTTTTTTTTCTCTAATAAATGAAAATGAAAACCAAAAAATGCATAAATAAAAGAGATAAAATAGTAAAATATTATAGTCAAACTTTAATTTAACAACTAGTGTTTTCAATATTTAATAGTGAGGGAAAAAATACTTTTTTAAAAACTTTCAAAACAAAAATGATTTAAAAAAATTTTAAAATGTTGGGCACCAAAAAAACAAAATTTAAAATTTTTTAACCTATTAACTGAAGTGATTTTAGATTATAAGTATGAGGAATCGTTGGGCAAAGGCATTTAATGCGGTGGCGTATGCCTAGGTCCAGAGCCGCCACATCTTTCTTCAGAATCTGCCTATAAACCCAACCGTACCCCCAAAATGGGAAAATAAGTTCAACTTGGCCACCCAATAGAATCCGCGAACTGGAAGTGACCCAATTCCAACCCCCGCCACGATATTACACGTGGCAGTAAGGCCTTTTTTGGGTCCCACAGGAACCCATCAATCAATGGTAATATGCCTTGGCAAGAAATGATGAGGCAATAGGGCATCGACACAATAATGAGAGACACTGACAGCTGGTGAATTTTTTTTTTAAAAAATTAACCATTTGTATTCTTTAATTCTAATTGAATTGCACTTCAGTCATTAAATTTAAATTTATTATAACTTAATTTTTATAATTTTAATTTGTTGTGTTTTATTTTTTAAATTTTGATTCAGTATAATTTAATCTTATAATTTTAATAATATAAAATATTAATCTTTATATTTAAGAAAATAAAATTATAAATTTTAAAATTATGATCTTTATAAAAATTAAAAGTTTTAGTAATTTAAAATATTAGTTTCAAAATTTTAAAAATAATTTTGATCTTTATAATTTTTAAAATATAAATATTAATATTTTATATAGTTAAAATTATAGGATTTAATTATACTGTGTCAACACTGAGTAAAAAACATAAAAAAAAAGTTATAATAAATTAAAGTTTAAAGAGTGAGTTGCAATTTGATAAAAAAAAAAAGTGAGTTACAATTGTATCAGAATTAAAGAATCAAATAATTATTTCTTTTTCTTTTTTTAATACAATAACAAAGAAAGAGTCTGGGGAATCAACTCGAAGAGATGAATTGTAGAGTGCAAAGAACCCTTACAAATGTCATTCTTCATCATTATGAAAATGCATAGAGAAGTTGGGTCAGTAAAGAATTTTGACCAGGTATTCATTCATATCGCAGGCATATCGCGCAGGCCAATCATTGTAACTATTCGCTTTTCTTAACAAGCGCCGGTGAGAAGCTTCCTGGTTCCCAGTTTCATTGAGTAGTCTCCTAATCTCTTCTGTCACGCACACATGTGGGAAAATTTGAACTCGTGAATCAAGGGAAAAGGAGGGTTGAAGCTAGCTGTGAAAACGCTCTTGTCGTTTCTTGATTATGATGCTGCCAATAATAGATTACAATTTTTGGGGTGGACGCTTTCTTAGTCAGATTATTTGACTTTTTTCTGATTCGTTAATAACAGCGACAAATATTTGATTCCAAATAGTTCCCTCAGTTTGCCGTCCTCCGATAATTATCATGAAGCAGTTATGGCGGTTTAGTCCACACAAGCTAAGTCCTCGATTTTCTACTATTCAATCTCATTCTGCTTTCTTCATCAATTGCATGCCCCAACAAATGTATATTCTCCTGGACGCATATCAAACCCTTGCTTTATTACTCAATCAATAGCTTTGCCTATTATTTTGTTCCTGGGTGTATGTTATCACCAGCCAACTTGCTAATTAACTGCTTAAAAAATAGAATATTTCTTTACAAAACTTCATAATACCTTTTTTTTCTTGGGTGGGGGAGGAAATGGAGAATGAATTTGTTTGTAGAAAATACGGAACTTTTTTGAATGTGCTGAAAAGGGGCCGAATATATATATATATATATACATGGAGGCTTGTAAAGATAATTTTGGAGAATCAATTAAACATGCATGTGCCAAATTATTATTATTAGAGCTGGGTGGCCAAAAAGAATCTGAAGCCATGTAGAATTTTAAGGTTCTGATCAAGCAAGAGAATTCGCAATGGCTGGATGTTGAAAATCTGAAGAAAAACCGGGGGATAAATAGACAAAGGTCGGTTACCTCATTCCCTCGCACTTTATTCATGAGACCTTTCTTTTGACAAAGCTAAGCCAGAGTTAGGAACGTTAGGTTCTAATTGCTGGTATTTTTATGAATATACAGATTTCTATTTTACGCTAACAATGTTACCGTGCAATTTATTTACTTTACCGCTGAAAAAGTTGTTGGTTTTTTTAATGCATTTTTAATTTTAATGTCAGTTTATTCAATAATTTTTGAAGCACGTGACGCGACTTGTTATGTCATCGACTTCTATATAATTTGATACCCATTCGTTATTAATTTATGAATAAAACGAATGCATCTACGTCGTCGAGGATAAAGCGTCACCGTTTGAAATTCTGTAACCTCTTTCTGCCTTGGCCTGATGAAAAGTATGCAGTGGGAATCAAGTAATACCTCTCAGGTTCACCCTTCCACAGAAGGAAGCTACCAATTTTCAAACCAAGCAAGCTATTTTCTCAACGTTTATAGTTGTGTGTTCAGCAACCCCACATGACTTTTAGACTTTCCCGTTTCACATTTATTCGTTTTTTTTTTTGTGCAAAAAAAAAATGTTTGTAGACAATGAATGCATGACAGCGAACTAGAGGTTGGTGTAGTGTTTGCACACTGAAGTTTGGCAGTGTATATATACGTGTTTAATATTTAATTGAAGTGGATCAAACAATTTAGTTATATTCTCTGTATCAGAATATGATATACGCATGCAAATACAAAACACATTTGGTGTACATATATAATATATCTTTCTTTACACGTGCAACGTGAATACAATGCATACGTGTCTGAAATAGTGAAAACTGGTAAGATTTGATGCTGTCAAATAGAAAGATCACTAGATGAGATGCAATGACCAGGAATAGATATTATTCAACAGTGGAATTAACAAAGTGGAAGAAGTAGAAGGAGAATATGAGTTAACTTTAGAAGCTAATAGAAGTAACATGCACGAGCATATGAAAACTTGGAGAGAGAGAGAGAGAGGCTAGAGAGAGAAGGGGGGAATAAATATACGAAAGAATTAATGCCGCTGGTTTCGGAGGCAACAGCCAACTTCATAAACAAGTTAGGTTGCAGCTGCTTGTTTCTTTCAAACTATACAAGGGGCGGTTTGGGCTTTCATTCATCGTTCATGCTTGGATTTGTTTCTTAGTCCCTAAGGTCTATTCTCATTTCTAAATTACCACATGCACATATAAAATGAAAGCACCCTTCCGATCCGAATTTTACATATAATGTATTGATCAACGTGCACATGCCTTTTACTTTCTCTGTGTCACGTAGTTAATTTGAAGTTTGAATGCATGCACAAGGTTAGAATTGTCACTTTGAAGCCCAAAGGGGACACAAATAATGTAGTTAACCTTAATTATACAAGTTAAGCATGTTCATTATGGTATTGTCCTTTTCAAGTAAGCCAAATGTTTAAGGAAAGCCACTGTTCAATGTCTCTTTACGATGAAAAGTTGGTAGGTGTAGTAAATGTAAAAAGATACTAATTAATTAATATATCGATATGATTAATTGGCTCAGTCATTCTAGATCTTTAAGCGCCGATTAAATTATTGTAAGTAATGTTTATCTGGTTTCATTCTCACCCTTTCAATCCAAGCTCGTTAAAGAGAGCCGGAGCACTGGTTTGGTAATTTCAATCAACTTCATCGAATGCGTTGATCACCACGAAAAAAATTCAACAGTCCATTCAATGATCTTCTAACTAAATTAATTAATGAAGCTGGAGACAAAAAAAAATGGTAAAACAAATAAAATTTGATTTGTCAAACCACACAGGATTCTGATTCTGGTTCTAGGGAGAGCAAAAGAGCAGGTAAATGAGGTGAGAGATGATAAAGCAAATGGGAGGAGAAGGTAAACGAAACTACAAGATGAGAGAAAAGGCTCGCCATAATTGAGTACATGTACACTTGTGCACAAGGGGAGAGGAGAGAAGGGATGAAAGTGGTCCCTCCACTTTTACGTTAAAAAACTCAAAAGTACAAAATACCCTCAGAAAATAAGTCCTGTTCCCGTCGCCTTGTGCCGTGAAACCCAAGTTTATAAATTGACCACAAACCCCCTCCTGGCTCGCTCGTAAGTGGATTTCTTCCTATAAAGCAGCCACACCCGTTCTCACCCCCACACCCATCTCTCCTCTCCTCTGCTCCCTATTTTCCATTCCTCACTCTACACAGTCTTTCAGCTCTGTGCACTTCATATCAAATCCGGATGACGAACCACAATGTGAAGGCTCCTGATCTCCAGTCTCAAATTAACGCCGTTATTGCGCTGTTGATGTCCATTTCCAATTCACCTTTGTTGCCCGGAGCGGGTATCCCGGAATCCATGGCTCTGCTTCGTCAGTTTCTGGGGACATCCCAGAAAAAGCTCATCAAAAGGCTCCAGGACAGAGATGGCAAAGGAGGAGCCAAAGTTACCTCCTGGGTTGATTCAATGAGAGCTTCCTCTCCTCCCCGAGTCAAATCAACCGTCCACGCCTGTGAAGACTCAGACATAAGTTCTGGGATTGTAAGCATATGACCCTCTACTTCACCTTTTGTTCAGCTTTCACTCTACCCTGTTTCTGAACCGTTTCTATATGCAGCTCCATCATCCTTCAGCGCTCAACGTGTTTGAGCAGATAATATCTAAATCAAGAGGGAAAAAGATCATCACCTTTCTTGACTACGATGGAACTCTCTCCCCAATTGTTGCAGACCCCGAGAAAGCATTCATGACCGAAAAGGTTTCTTTCTGTTCTTTCCAGCTCTGCCAAACTCCTACCGCTAGAATGTATTTTTAACTAATCACCTTGATTTTTTACTTTGAATCAGATGAGAGAAACGGTGAAGGACATAGCCAGACATTTTCCCACGGCCATCGTGACTGGGAGGTGCATAGACAAGGTACATTTCTCTTGACAGCAAAAAACGCGTAATAACAGTAATAATTATCGTGGTATAACCACTTTTGCTCCTAATAATTATTATTATTTTTTTTTTTTGGGTCTTAGGTATATAACTTTGTAAGACTGGCAGAACTGTATTACGCAGGCAGCCATGGCATGGACATCAAGGGGCCAACGAAAACACGAAACTCTGAGAAAGTAAGAGAGTTTCCGTCGCCTACCCTGATATGAGCGATGTTTTGGTTCTGCGTTCTTAATTTCTGAATTGCTCACGTTGTTTCAGGGTAAACGAGCAGTCCTCTTCCAGCCTGCGAGTCACTTCTTGCCCATGATGGACGAGGTTTGTGTCGTTTTACCTCCAAAACCTTTCATTCCACGAAATTGGCAAACCATGCAAAATTAAACGTTAATCTGGCCCGTGTCATTTTTTTTCCAGGTGTATAAACTGCTAGTAGGAAAAACAAAGTCTGTTCCCGGGGCCATCGTAGAGAATAACAAGTTTTGCTTGTCCGTGCACTACCGTTGTGTTGACGAGAAGGTACCAGTCAACAAAACTATTAAATCGCTGACATGTCCGTATCCATGCTTAATATATGTCACTCTACCGAACATTAACGTCTCTGTTTTTTCAGAGTTGGGGTGCATTGGCAGAGCAAGTTAGATCAGTGCTCAACGATTATCCAAAACTTAGACTCACCCAAGGAAGAAAAGTTTTAGAGATCCGTCCAAACATCAAATGGGACAAGGGCAAAGCTCTCGAGTTTTTGCTGCGATCACTAGGTGACTATCCGCAAACCAAATTAACACAAAAACTGAAGGACTTTCTGTCATGAGCTGTGTCAATCCTAACTGTTATTCTTACCTCTTTTTTAGGTTATGCAAATTCTAAAGACGTATTTCCGATTTACATCGGTGATGACCGAACTGATGAGGATGCTTTTAAGGTGAAAAATAGTGATGACTATGCATCGTAAATGCTCCCCACTTATTCTACCTGTTTCGATTCGTTCTAACATTATGGATTATCACTTTCAGGTTTTGCGCAACAGAGGTCAAGGGATTGGGATTCTAGTTTCAAAAGTTCCAAGAGAAACAGAGGCTTCCTACACTTTGCAAGACCCATCAGAAGTCGAGCATTTTCTAAGGCGTTTGGTGGAGTGGAAGAGAAGGAGGGTCAATCCAGCAAGTGTAGAGGCCTTTAGATTGTAGATAGGTTAATGAAAGAACTCAGACCACCCCCAGAAATTTGGTGAAGGGTGGATTGAATCTTTAAATTGAATCATTTTCATGCTTCAGTAGCGGCAAATAGTATCAGTTTGACTTTTTGAGGAAGTTCAAATAGATTCTATCTTCTCTGTGGATGCCGATGGCGTCTTATTCCATCACAGTCCACACGTTTGCATGCGCACGTGTATGGTGAACTACAGAGAGATGTTTTATACTACTTGCTCATTTCAAAATGCCAATCGAGTGTTTCAACTTTCGACATTAATCCACCCTCTGAATTGTACTTGTCGTACATGTGGCCAATTTGTGATTGAAAATGATAATCACAAACTGCCACTTCAAAAACTGTTTCACAAACATCAATAGAATACACCATTTGCTGTTTAAGATATTTAACAAACTTTTATTATTCAGGATAGATCTTCGAAAGGCTGCCCTTGTCCATCAAGTTTTATTTTAGTATTTTATATTTCATGTTATTTTTTTGCAATTTGTATTGATTAAAAGTCATTTTTAACTAAAAAATACGTAAACCAAATAAATCTGAAGCATAGCATAAACTTGCTCAAATTTAGATAACGGCTAAGCGTTGGGATTTTTTATTGATAAAAAACTAAGCGCATTAAATGTAAATTACTGTTTATTTGATTTTTATAACCAACAACTTTTCTTTTCAGTCAACTAGAGTCCGTCCTCCAGTGCAGCACAAAACTGAGCTCTTGGATGCGAGTGACCAACTTAAATGGATAGTGGAGAAGAAAGAAATTAAGAAGGTCAAGGGTAACAGAATTCTCGGGCTCGTCTCTATAATTATACTAAAAATTGTCGACACCCGGCGAGATTATCCAGCGTGGCAGAAGGATAAAGAAAATTAGTAGACGACATTAAATGTAATTAAATTAGAACACAGCTAAGAGACATTCTGCAAACCCCAAGTCATCATCTCAGGCACGACAGATATTCACACAGAACAATTAGGCGTGCACGATGCAAGTTGCAAGCGTTGCATGATTGGACCAATTAATGTTTGACACAAGACTGTTACAAAGTGTGGGTGGGTAGTGTAAAGTTTACGGTGCCCGCCAAATTGTGTCTATTCGACATTAACTGTTTCACCTGTATGATAGGGTACGAAATGCTCGCTCAGGCATTAAAGGAAAAAACCAAAATAACTCTCCCTCACATGCAAATCCTTATTATTAGGAGTCATGTGCCGTAATGATCCTGATAATTATATTCCCTCCAGTTCGCTATCTATTGATTTGTTCAAAGGGCAGAAATAGGTTTCAGATAGGAAAGAACCGTGGGGCACAACATGAAGCTAAAATCATGTAATTATGAGCTTCATGTTTCTGTTTTGACGGGTTTCCTTGTTCCTTTTAGTCAAGCTGACTGGGGATACTGCTCCACCACGCTAAATGGGGCAGCCCCACAGCAGCCTCTATCCTATTCTGAATTCTCGCAGTAAGATCCCCAGCAAAAACACTTAATAACTGGGAACCACCTAGACATGGTCCAAGCGCGTTCGGAGCCTTGACAAAATCAGTTTAATTACTGGTATGAAGATATTTAAATGGGTTGAGATGTACGATGCATCTAATACCTCCCATCTTCCCTACAGGGCTTCCACCCCGTTTGTCAGACAAAGTGCTGTAAAGAGACACAGGCGTGGTGTTGTAATTTAATAAGCCTTAAAATCAGAAAGAAGAGAGGCAGCCACTACCATCTGAATCATATTCTTTTACGATCACGGAATTTAAAATTGAAGATTTAGGGACTGTTAAAGCGGAGAGAATAGATCTGGGGTGTTAAACTAATTAGGAGCACTTGCAAATGATATTTATTGGATTCTTCATCCTAACATGCCTTCCAATTGCTCGCAACCGGAGATGCTATTCTAAACTATTGGGCACTCAGATTTGACAGAGCCCACCTGAGTCGAATATCTGAGAGGAGTATCTTAATCTGGAAATATATTGGAATACTGGAATTCGGAAACCGTGTGGGACAAGGGGGTATTCTAGTTTAATGGGTTGTTTTCAAACGGGTTAGGTGCGTGAAAGGGAAACCCACTACCACTTTTGCGAGTCCTATGCATGGTTGAGGAGGAGTTGGATTCCACTCAAAGTGCTTGATTTGAAGAGGACATGAGGGTTCCTTGATGGCAACGTCCCAGTATGCTTCCAAACCCTTGAAAAATAGGTCGCCACTAGATTCACTTCCATCATTGCTGCCTTGTAAGCTCCTCTATCCTGCAATTATTGGTACCAATCCAGCCACTTCCCCCCAACATTTCCCAACGCATCCTCTCACACTCTCTCTCCCTCTCTCTTTATTCTGAACTCCTACAACTTTCACTCATTTCAGATTTACCTTTTTATATTTTCTGCAACTCTTTATGCACCCAACACACTTTCCTGAGAGAACTGGTATCTAAAATGCCTTTCACCCTCTGCATTTTTGGAATTCTTGGTGTATAAAAATAAAAGGCTGATATAAAACTGTATTTTTGTTTGAATCCCTGATCAATGTTCATGCATGCCTGAATGATTAACCTGATCTGATATGAATAAATGATCAGGCATTGTAAAGTTCTGCATGAAAAGGGAACTGATGATGACTTGACAACTGTTGTTGGCTTTAACAAAGCAAGCAAGCAAGCTAGCTAGCAAATAGCGAGCAGGGGTAAATGATTCTCTATAACGCTAATGCCAAAAAGACGCTCAAATAATGGGTCTCCATAGGCGTGTGTGCTAAAGGAAAATGGTCCCCCGATAATAGTGGTGTAGCATGAGCCGGGGTTCAGCTGTCAAAGTAATTTAAAACACGGGATTAATAGTGACTCCGCACTGTAGTAATTAGCATTCAATAATTGTGAACTGGAGTCCCCGTATAAGCAGCAGCTTCTGCTGGAGGGAGCAGAGTAGTTTTATTTATAGTATTTCTTTAGTCTCCAGAGTAGGATTTTTGGGAGTTTGCAATGAATAAAAAGGTTGTTGCTGCCGGGATCTAGGCCTTCATTCACCGTACGTAGATTAGATTTAAAAATCAAAGCAGATCATTGAGGAATCATGATAGCCTTTCGGCTGCCCCCATGTTCGTCAAAGCTAAGGATGTATACTGTATATACAAGTATAAACTGGTTTGCGCTTTGGTGATTCTACACGTAATAGGCTTACCAAAAACCTGCAACTTCCAGATGAGATGCACGGTAGTGGCTAGGTGGTGCAGCCCATAACCATTGAATCCTTTTGCACAGAAGAAGCATTTGGAATTTGACAGGGTTTCCTAACCCGGCTACTTTTTTTTTTTTTAATTTCCTGTGCCAAAAATATGTGTCAGCTGCTGCAATGATAAAAATATTGAAGGTATATTCTATATTTTAATAAAGCCGACGTTATCACTGAATTTCACATTAGCTGGAGACGCTGCTTGAAAGTTGAAACCGATACCAATTATTGAAAGATAATTTTTCATTCAGGTGTCTCGAAGGTGTGGGCTATTTGTATTTGGGAAGGTCAAGGTCTTGATATATTTTGTTTCACTGAATTTATTGAGGGAAAAAACATTTAAATTTGTATTTTTGTTTTGGCCAACAAATTAAATTTGGTAGTAATAAGGTCCAGAAGAGTATAACTTAAAAATAAATATCGTTTTGTGATGTCTTTCGCTTGAAAACCTAAAACCATCTCCAAATTCTGCCTCCCACGCATCAGATGTCGCTCTGAAATAAAAAGGAATCACTATATGCATAGAACCATGCTATCCTCAAGGGGCAAAATAACTGGATTGATGATGCTATAATTTCGGTTGCACTATGAACTCTCTCTATGATATGGCAATAATTACGGGTGAATTTACTTTGTTTTTTTTTTTTTAGAATATTAATTATAATAATTAGATGTTCCTAGTAAAATTAATATCATCTTCTGTGGTTAATAGCATGTGCCCTGTAACAGACCTAATTTTTATTATATTTTTTTGTACAAAAGAAAACCTCCCCCTTTTTCTTATAAATAAATATTTTTAAAAAAAATGTACCTATCCAAACAAAGTAACATCAAGATTAACAATTACCACTGGACTTAGGGCAAATGAGGCCTAATAAATAATTTGCAGCAAGTCCAGGTTTAACAATAGTTTATAAATATAATCAACTTTGCTATACACACATTTTTCTTATATCATTAATATGTACAATCCAAAATAAATGAGCTTGACCCAATAAAAAACCATAGTCCAGATTGACCATTTTAAAAGTTATTCAACTCAAACAAAAAGATTGAGTAGTTATAATCAAATAACCTATAACAATTATCCAAAAAATTTATATGGATCCTTAGGTCATAACAACTATAATTACAAAATAAACAGAAATCACGTGCCAAGCTAAGAGAAGGGAGCCTAAACTCACTTCTTCGATGCCTTTCCTGTAGCTCCACTTGACTGCTCATCTAAAAATGATAAGACGTAACATGTGAGATTAAAAATCTCGGTAACAGTTGGTTATTTTAACATATACCAACATACTTCTTGAAATCAATTTGTAAACATATATATATATATATATATGCATTTCACAATCAATATACAAAATAAAAAATGCAATATTCATAATTTTATAACAATTTCTAAATCAATGTCAAATTTAAACAACAGTAATACATTTCTAACCTCACCTTTATGGCTCCCAACTCTTATTATCGTTAGCTGGAGCCTAGACTGAGGTTATACCCGATCAAAGGTACATTACCATCAGAATAGGACTCCCCTCCTTAAAAAGGGGTGCCCATCGTCCCAAAATGTCAAAAACATTGAGAACTATAAGAAAAAGGCCAACCACTACGTGTGTAGTAGAGGCAAACCACGCGGCATAATATTCAATCATCAATCCTAAACAAACAATCATATTACCAACCATCCTTATTACCTCTTTTGCATTACATAAAACTAATGTCACATTCTACAATAAGATCACACAAGTATTAATGTATATATATATAGACACACACGCACAATAATAAAAACTAGTATCTCAATATATGAAAGGATATTTCAATATTATATCTTTTCCAAACTATAACTAACTCAGACGTGTAGAGAACTTTTTAACCACAATAACATATTAATCTACGACATCGAATAATATAAATACCATTAGATATATATATTGTAATTTATCAATTAAATATAAAATTCAACGAAACTTTTCAAATTTATAATTATATCCTTCCAATCTAAATCCCTCCGATAAAAATTTAAAATTAACTTAAATTAAATTATCTAAATTTTAAAAACATATTTCATTCATATAGATATCCTATACACCAGAGATCACAAATTTTATAGCTAAAAACTTATTTTAAACTCTCAAATCAGTTTATAGAATAAATCTAAACCGATAGAATTTAAGTACTAATTTATCTCTACTAATTAATAGTTTTCGTTGTTAAAAGTCAATACTTGCTCTAAGTTTAAATTTTAAAATTTATTTTACTCATCAAAATTTTACTATTATTAAAAAGCTCTAAATGAGTGGGAAATTATTTATAAAAGAAGTTTTGAAAACAAAAATAATTTTGAGTATAAAATATTACCTCAAAAGCCTTGAAGTCCTTATCTTTTCCTTCTCTCTTTCTCTCTTTCTCTCTTGTCTTGTGCATGAAAATGAGATGAGAGAGCAAAGCCAATAATACATAGATTGGCTCAATTCCACTGCCTCTTTTTATTCTCTTCTTCCTTTTTTTTTTTAACTTCAATATACTTCCTCATTAAGTCTTCTCTTTATTATATATATATATATATATATTATCGCTTATCATTATTTTTAATTTTTAAAAACAAAACTTGACATAAAATTATATTCTAAGTTAAACAATATCTCCTAATTAATTTATTTATCTTCAAATATTCTTTCTATTTTTTCATTAATTCTAATAAACTCTAAAAATTAAAGTAGAATGTTACATGCCCTCAGTCTGAGTGGTGAGATTTAAATTGGCTAAATTTAATTTGAATAGTTCAAATTTAAATTTCTTAATCTATAATTTTTAAATGATAAAATTATTTTTTTAAAAAAATTAAAAGTTGAAAGTCTATTTTTATTTTAGAATCTGCATGCATTTATTAAAATAAAAATAATAAATTATAATACAAAGTAAATTAAGTATAAATCATCTAGGTTTGTGATGAGCACCTCATGATGCAATTCCCTAGTAGTGTATTTCAATCTAGCAAAACAAATCAGACAATATTCATTGTTTACCGTGTCATTAAATAAGGTTTCTTTTCTTTTGGTGTCTATCACCTGTTTTTGAGCATGTAAAGTATTCGAAAGTAAATAAATAAGCCATCACATATTAACTAGTTAACATGAGTGGTTTAAATTAATGGTAGTTGAATTGAGTAAAATGAATTGGACATTCTTAAAATAAATTTGAGCTAGAATATTGTGGATGGAAGAAAAACAAAAAATAGCGCTAGAAATGCTACCCTTCATGTAAGACCTAATATGATTGAATTTAAATTAATTCGCTAACTATTTTTTTACGGAAAATATTGTGCTAACTGATTTTGTGAGCACTCTCACGTCTCTCGCCATCCCTTTCTCTTGGGCAAACAGAAAAATGGCCTAATAATTAAAAAAAAGGAGAATGATATTTAAGGTTTTCTCAAAAAAAATTTATCATATTATAGATTTATAAGTTTTGCATTAGACATTATCTTGTGAAAATACATATGTGTTGTTATTAAAAGCTAAAATTTAATTTGTTAAATTTTTTAAAAAAATCCTAATAAAAATATAAAGTAAAGCTCAACTTTTAAAAATAATATATACATATTTTCATAAAATAATATTAAATGCAAATTTTATGGGCCCTTAGATTTTTTTGAGAGAGCCTCAAATGTCATTCTCCCAATAAAAAAAAGCATGTTACAGCAGAATTAATTTTACATAAAATTATATTTGCAAAATCAATCCTATGCAAATTCCATATCCAACACTCATCTAAAATTCTATAGAAAAGTGGCATCACGGTGTCATCACATATCGTAAATTGGGTCATCGGTGCTGTCCGTGAGAATCGTCAATATATATACATATATACATACAAATTTTGTAAAAATTATTGATCGGTCATAATCTCTTTAATACTATTGATCAATTAACTTTGATTAAATTTTAATTTTTAATATATATATACAAAATTTTAGAAAATCATTGATTGATCATAATCTCTTTAATGCTATTGGTCAACTAACTTTGATTAAATTTTAATTCTCTTCATTTAGCGGTTCATTTTATTTGTCATATATCTCATTATTAAATTTTAATATAACATTCAAGTTTTATGGAAGCAATAACTCCATCCATCTCAACTTTTTTATTTATTTTGTGTATCTCAATATTTTCAGTTTTATCTTTAAGAATTCATGTATTTCATTATTAAATTTTAAATATAAAATTCAAGTTTTACCAGAGCAGTAAATCCATCTGTCTCAACTTTTTCACTTATATCGTGTCTCTCAATATTCTCCAGTCTCTATCTTTAAGAATTCACGTATCTTATTATTAAATTTTAAATATAAAATTTAAGTTTTATGGTAGCAATAACTCCATCCGTGTTAGCTTTTTCATTTATCTTGCATATCTCAATATTCTCCAATCTCTATCTTTAAGAATTTATGTATCTCATTATTAAATTTTAAATATAAAATTCAAATTTTACGGGAGTAGTAACTCCATTCGTCTCAGCTTTTCCATTTATCATGCATCTTTTAATATTCTCTAGTCTCTATCTTTAAGAATTCATGTTAAATTTTAAATATAAAATTCAAGTTTTATGAAAGCAATAACTCTATCTATCTCAACTTTTCCATGAAGTGACGATGAAATGGGCTTGAGTATTTGAGGAAGTTTGTTGTGTCTCTTGGTGAGTATCTTTATTGTCACTTATACTAAATGATAGAAAATTATCTTGCACTCCACTACCACAAAATAAAATAAAAATGTATTGATTTATAGAACTTTTTCATATTATTGATGAGTGTTTATCTATATTACTTGACTATATATTATTACTTACAATTTTCTTGTATCAAACCTTAGTAATTTACAAAGATTAATTCTATCACTTTTAAGTTATTACACATATAATTATATACAATTTCAATGAAAAAACATTCGTGTTATAATTTTTCTAACAATACGCTATAAACATGAAATCAAAATAAAAAATATAATTATGTTGTATATATTTCAAATATAAAAAAAGCACATAATTCATATTTTCTACATCATTTTTTTAAATGAAAGGATATCTAGTCAAAAGTTTTTGTGCCTTAATCATGTATGATGAAATTATCAAAAATTCAATCTTTTCAAACTCTATTTGTAATTTGTTATAAGCTTGAGAAGTAAAGACAAGATGTGTATGAATGAAATATTTAAGAAGAAGAAAAATAATTAAATAGATAAATTTTTAAAATTTAATAATTTTAGATGTTTCGAAATTAAAAATATCCAAGATATTTTTTAAAATTTTTTAAATTTAAGAGAAACTATCTAGTTTGAACAAAGGCATGTAAAACGTGAGGTCAAATTTCATGTCTGCCCGACGCTCGCTGTCAATCTCCATTAAGCAAATTTGATTGATAACCCTGCCTAAAATCATATCACCCACCATATCTAGCACATGTTCCTGTGGCTCATGTGAAGTCCATAAACATGTGGAAAGTGATCCTATTTTTATTCATTTACAATTTCCCATCATCAATTCGCTGGGACAACTGTGGTCATATGACAAATATCATCACTCAGATGTCCCAATCGTCTCGAAGTGACTGCGTTTGATACCTACCATCTTGATACCTAGAAATGCAATTACTGAAAATTTAGAATTACGAATTGTGTCGCCGCGTCATTTTTTGTCCACGGTGCTTTTGGATTGTTAAGATTGACCCCACTAATAACGCACCCAGTTCGCCGAAGCAGCCCAGGCTTCATTTAGGAAATCTAGCATTGGCTCTTTCCGCTTGGCATTGACTAGGAAACAAGGGGCTGCAGTTTGAATCCAGGGCTCACCATTTTCACAAACAAGGCATGAGCTCCCCGCTTTCATTTTTCATTGTTGTGGGGACGTGAATGGACACAGAATACGACAGACACATTGTCTCCCTCGTTTTTCATGTTCTTTCTTGACCTCCATGGCCAACTGAGCTTTCAAATCCTTTGCCAAAAGACTGTTCCATTAGAATGGCCTACATAGAAAGTACATGCACTTTCCTGATTCATTCCACCTTGTACGAAAGCATCTTTATCAATGCCTACCTTGGAATTTGGTTTCTAGACTGGACCTGCTAAAAACTGTTGCACGCCATGGTTGATGTTTTATGTTTAAGCCCTGTTCCATTCCCATATTCTTCTTTAACGCTAACGATATTCAAATTCAAAATAGATGCTACTTCCATGAAATGTACTAAACGACTTGACAAATACAGAGCAAAAGCATTTCATTAATCTTGCTATCACTTTCTTTTTCACAAGAGAGAGATAACAGTGCAGGTGTGCATTTGGTAAAATTAAGACTGCAAAGGCAGAGGAAGAAGGCAGGCGATTGAATAAACTGGCGAGTCAAATACATTGATTCTCCCCGCAACACCATCATCATGCATCGTGGAAATCAATTTCATGAATCAAACCAGTGTCAATGCTCCCTGCTCAATCTAGTTCCCTGCCACGGGCATACATCAAGATAGAGGCCTTGCATGCCTGTATCATTGGTTGGGAGCCTCGCGGGATATAAGACGCCAAGCATAACAAAGCTCGAAACTTCTCACCGGCACAGTTAATCAGGAAAAGGGCAACACATGTAGTCGTGTATACCTTTTGATGTCTACTTCTCCAACTACAGAATTGTGATCACGGTTCCAATTTTATTGATACCGAAAATTATTGTCAGGTAAACAGTATACGTTATATAAATTAAGCCAATAACCTGAACAATTTCAGATACCTGATTACACTGTTACAGTTTACTCAACAATGTACTTTGATTAAAATCCGAAATGAACTTAAACTGAGAGTGATTTCACCAGGGAAACGTGCTTTAAAACATGAGGTACAAGCGAACATCAATGCATTATGCACCAAAACTTCCACTAGAGTTTGGCCAGCAGGCAACAGTTCCCGTCAGCGGGAGCGGACCAACACCTGATCTTGCTCAACAAGTCATTTTCCTCTCGACTGGACATCAACTAAAGCTATTCAATAATTCATGAGCTCCCATACTCGCGTTTAGTTCTTCTAGTGAATAAGGTGAAAGAAACCTTTTCGAAAACCTTTGATTGGAAAGCCTACAGATTGTAACCAAAGGGGGTCTCTTCCGTAGCAATTGTTTCTTTTCCAAGATGTCCATAATTTGCAGACGAGGTTTCAACCTGCGTTCAACGCTGCATAAAGCAACTCTGGGTGCAAAACTATATATGACATATCGCACTTTCCTGAACTAAGTAGCAGCTCCGTCACCTCCTGAACTTTCCTTGTGGATACAGCAAATGCAATGGGCATCCTCCTAAACAAAACTAGAATATCATTTTCAGAAAGCCCCAAGCTCCGGAACACATTCAGCTTCAAATGCCATCTCTCTAAAGACATTGAACTTATTACTCTTATGGCAGGAAGGTACATATTGGATTTCCTATCAAAGCCCATCTCATCTACTCTGCTCACGTATACCGATATGCTCTCCTGTTTAAGTAGGAAAAACCTAGGGTAGTGGAATAAGTATCTAACAATTTGTGAAGAGCATATTCCAATACCTTTCAAGTATTCAATATTGGGCAACATAATCTTCTCTATATCTTGTTTCAGAAACCAATTAGATAACTTTAAGAGCCTACAAACTTCTTCGGTTGAACCCAAAATATTCAACAACACCGTCAGTGACGGCCTGAGTCGATTTTCGGCGCTCCGCCTGAGAAGCAATGGATCATTAGATAGAAGATCAGCCATATCAACGGGGTTGAAGCCCAAGTCCAGGAAAACTTTGATTTTGGGTCTTAGAACGTTGTCAAGGCCGGCGGAGAGAACTTCAGGAAATCTTCCGACAAGGTCTTCAATATGATTCTGGGAAAAACCAATTTGCTTAAAGAACGACAATACAGAATCTGCCCGTTGGAGATTTCTGACCTGCTTAACGGTGGACGAGGCTTTCTCAGCAGCCTCTGGGGAGAAATTCTGTCGAGTGAGCAAGTAATCGAACATTTTAATGGAAGGACTGGAACTAGCGTGTTTGGAGGGAGTGGAGGAGAAGAGGGAGATTGAAAACGAGAGCGGGAGCCGACGACAATGCGAAGTGCTCTTCCGAATCAGGGAGCGGAGGCCCTTGAACATTTCGGTAGCTATTTCCAAATGGAGCCTTGATTATTAGCAACAGCGGAGGTAAGGGGATTAGAACTTGCCTGCTAGCGTCAGCACTGCCTCTGAAAACTCGAACAGTGAAGAAACCCGGCAAGCTCCAATCGCCGCACTTTCTGCTTCAAGATAGGCCGAAGCTTCCACGCCACGATACAGGCTCTCCTCATTTTAGGGTTTTAGAACTTTCCCAGTTTCTGCGGGTTTCTTCAGACTTTGCGGGTCCAAGGGTAAAACTATTCTAATTTTTTTTTTTTATGGTGGGCATCTTGAATTTTTTTTAAGAGTATTTTTGTCTTAAATTTTTTAAAGAGAGAATATTTTTATCCTACTATTAAAAATTATGAACATTAATCATTAATTAAAGTTTGATCAAAAATTAAATAGCATATTTATTTTGAAACTTTTTTTTAAGAGCTTAGGCATCTTGAAGTTTTGTTTAGAATTTGTTTATCCTAAAAATTTCCAAAAGAAAATAATTTTACCTTGCCGTCAATATTGATTGTTACTTTGACTTTAATTATCATATGTAGTCATGTGACATTTAAAAAAAATCACTTAAATAACAATAACACCTCTATTAACATCAATAATAACAGCAAAAACAACTCCATGAACAGTAAGTGTAACACCCTTCAAAAATACAAACCAATTTTTCATAAATTATTAAAACCATTATCATAGTAGAAAATTTTCTTACCATGATACATCCAAGACATAACACAAGTCTTAAAATATTCAAAAAGGCAATTAAAACTATGAGGGACAGACATAATCCTCTTGGTCATATAAATACTTTTAATAAAAAGGATTCGAGTTTACATGCTTCACAAAGAAGATATGTCCTAAGTTGGCACAAAATACATTATATAATCTAAAATAAGAGGCAACGTAAAAGATGGTGTCTTATACACTATAATTACACCTCTGGTGCTTTCTCGGCCGGACTCGCTCCTGTAAAAATATTAACCATGGGGAATGAGATTAAAAATCCCAGTAACCAAAAATTAATATGTAATGATGCATGCGGTTGTAACTAATCATGCGATTGCTAAGTGAACATACAAAACATTTAACCGAACAATATTTTCAAACAAACCGAACAAGTATTTAATTTGCATACTGCATCTTATATCTTCCTTTCGCCATGCTTGGACGCCAAATCACCCAGCCAAAGGTGAGTTGGACCAAGCAACACGCCACTCATTGGGTCCAATGAGGGCTTAGCACGTGGTAATAATTAACCGAACAGAAATTTTCATTAACACCATACATTAAAATACCCTAACAAGTCATGCATCATTCAAATATCCAAACAGAAATATATCCGAACAATAATATCTCATCATGATAAACAAAAATAATTTTTTAACCCACTTGGCAATAAATTTTAAATAAGTATATACAGTATTTATTTTCAATAATTCATAATTTTTTTTCAAACAATAAAACAACACATAACCATTCACAAACACACCCATCACAACACATTAATAATGGTTACCTTGTGTCTTGAATAACAAGTTCCCCTTCATAACTCCTTTTCACCACTATCTTTGTTAATATAATCTACATAATTATTTCACAATACTATATATTAATTTTACATTAAAATTAATAAATAACTCTAATTTAAAGAGTTAGAAAGTCTTAAATTTATAATCCATATTAATACTAATTTAAGATTTATGCCTCATTTAACTTTTCAAATTCTTTTCTAAAATTCTCGTACCCTAATAAACTATTTTCAAGCCTCAAATCACTTTTCTATAACTCAAAAATACCTATTCATACTTAAATAAATATTAATAATTAGAGGTTCATCCTACATCTCAGATTCAACATAAATTCAACTATATAGATTTAGAGTTTAACTCAAAAATTTTTAAACATGAGTTTTAACGTCAAGAAAATATTCTATAATATTTATTATATCCCTAAGAGCTTTAACCTATATTTTTAATCTATCATATCATCATATTAACTATCCTATAAAAAAATCTAATCAGAATATTTACTCTATTTACAAAATAATCATATCACTAGAAAGCTAATATTATTTAGAAAATAAATATAAAATTAATTTTATACTTAAATAATTTTTTAAATGCTACTCTAAACAGGAAAGTTGGAACATATCTGAAGAAAAAGAAAATAATCCTCCCCTACAAGAAAACGCCCGGCAACGTGAGAGAAAGAGAAAAAAATAATATAAAAATAATTGTGGGTCCCAAAATTATATTAAAAAAACTATAGGTTTGAATTTAATTATTCAAACTTTTGGGCCATTACTTATAATTTTCACAAATTGCATCTTGAGCCCTTAGTTGCAATTTTTACAAATTACAAAAAGTTTTTTTTCTTCCTTCTGCGTCTCCTCACGTCTGCTGCGTCGCTCTTTTATACACGAGGAGCGTTTTTCTCTTTCCACATCTAATCGATGTGGGACTTCTACAGTCCTTTTTTTTACTTTCTTTTCTTTGTTTTTTAACTCACACTCACACATATTTTTTTATTCTAAATCTTAAAATTATACCTTAATAAAATATTTTTATATAATTTTTAAACCTAAGTTTTAAATTCATAATTAAATTTCTAACCATATTATTATTTTTAAATAATTCAAATAATATAAATTTCTATTATTTTTTTATCTAAAAATTAGGATGTTACAGTAAGCAATTTCAAATCATCCAAACCCATACTTGTATATGAAAACAATCAACTATCTATTGAGTTAATTCATATGAATTTGGCTACGTGGAAGCTCTCTTCTTCTATATTCGAAAATTCCATTACCTTAGACTCTTTTGAGGGCTTCACAACATTAAAATGACCATGGTGGCAATAGCGAAAGCAATAGCTTACATGTTATGCAAGGAGCACGTAGCAATTGCCAAGGGAGTACAAAGGCAATCTAAGAGAAGTTAATAATGGTAGATTTGCCTTTGATAAACAAAGCGACGACATCGTGGCTTGAGTGATCATTTCCAAGGGTGAAAGAGTCGAGTCAGATGCGAGACTTCTGTGAGGCTCATAAATTCAGATACTTATTTTTTCCAGCTTCACATTTAGATTCCAATTCATGATAATGTGCGAGCTTGCTAGTGGAAAAGGAGCAAGAGGAAGAAGAGGAGTAGGATGATAAAGAAGACAGCAGGGCAAAATTACTCCCTTTTTAAACTTTCAAGATAAACAAGCTCTAAACAAAAGTTTAAGGTGTCTAGTGCCTTTGAAGAAAAAGTTATAGGGCAAATGTGTTATTTAACCATTGGTCAAATTTTAATTAACGATCAACATTCGTAATTTTTAATGGTGGGGCAAAAATGTTCTAAAAAAAAGTTTAAGGTGCCAGGCGCCCTTGAAAAAAAATTTTAGAGCAGTTTTGTCTTTTAATTTGACTTTATAATTAAACCAATACAATTTAAATTTATATATTATTGAAAATTATTACTTGAGTTGGACACACAAATTTCCAAATTTTTAGCTAAATATAATGATATTTTACTAATGACTAGAGTATATAAAAATTTTAAATATTAAGATACTTGCATGTGATTACCTTACTTTTACATATTTAAAATTAATTTTCGTAATTTTTAATTTTGTTTTTCAAAGCCTTGCTATTAATTACCCTATCATGTTGTTAACACAATTTGCCGTATTAGATTAAGAAAAGCTAAATAAAAGCTTACATGACATTTTATATAAGCAAATAATAATAATAATAATAATATAAAAATTATATCATTTTCAAACATTTACTCTGTATTTGTTTCATCTATGTTTTTTTTTTATCAATGGCACATAATTTTTTACTTTTTGGTATTAAAAATTTAATTTTTATTGAATTAATATGTAATTTGGACCCTGAATTATAAGTCTAGAGATAATTTAAATCCTAAACTTTAAGAATGTATTATGAACCATAAACAATTAAAGTTGGGATGATTTCACCCCTACTATTAACTTTTAATAAATGACGATCAAATTCATTTAAAAAAATTATATTTTAAATATTAATTTGACAAACGTTTGTTGAAAGTTAACTTAAGAGTAAAATTGCCCTAGCTTTAATTCTTTAGAGTTTATAGTGCACCTTTTTAAAAGTTTAGGATTCAAATTATCCATGAATTTATAGTTTAGGGTCCAAATTATATATTAACCATTTTGTATTTTAAAAAATATACTTTAATCAATAATAATTCAACAATAATAAAAAATATATATTTTTCATATTATATCAATTTTTAAAAAGATTTTGAAAGAGTGTATAAATTTTTTTATTTGAATTGATTGATAAAGGTGAAAATTTATAAAATAGAATCAAATACTTTTATGATAAATAAAAAGATAGAAAAAAAGTATATGAAAAAGAATCTATTCTAGATTTTTTTCTAACAAATAATGATAATATTTTTTTTTTCAATCGATATTACTATGATATTCTATTGTGCCAAAAAATAGATAGAAAAAAATATGAAAGTACGCTTATAGTGAAAGATTATATTACGCTCCTATTGTTGCCACTAATAATCTATCAAAACCTCACCTAACAAGAGCAAAAATGGTCACCTCGACACCATCTCATTTATATCCACCATAATTTTTAAAAAAATTATTTTACTCATTATTACAATTTATAACTTTTTTTTATATAGTTTCATCATCATCGTTATTATTATTTATTTTTTTTATTCTTTCTTTTTATATCTTGAGAAATTTATAATGTTATCATAGGTTAATATTTAATTTGAATTTTAAACTATAGGTTTATAGGTAATTTAAACTCTAAACTTTTAAAAATGTGTATTTTAAACTCTAAACAATTAAAATGGAGATAATTTCACTCCTACTGTTAATTTTTAACAAACATCTATCAAATTGAGGCATAACGTGAAATTTTTTAAAATAAATTTAACGAACATTTGTTATAAATTAATAGGCTTTCTAATTGTTTAGGATTTAAAATGTATCTTTTAAAAATTTAAAGTTTAAATCATCCCCAGATCTATAATTCAAAACTTAAATTGCATATTAATTCATTTTTATTTATTATCATAGTTTTCTTTTTGGATGTTTTTATTTTCATTTATTTAATATAAAAAATTATTTTAATTGATAAAAAATAATAAAATCATAAATTTTTTAAATTGCGTTGACAGTAAATATTGAAAACAAAGTCCCTCAATTAAAAAATAATAACAACATCATCATGGGTATTGAAAGTAAAAGTTATGATTTTGCCACTTCTTGAATTGTGTTAAGAAAATTAATAAAAATATTTTTTTATATCACGTTACGTATGCATTTCATTAATCTGACGTAACAAACTTTACTCATTTTTATTAGCTAGAAAATGAACACAAAAAAATTGATCCCAATTAGTTTGGATTTTGGAAGGTGAATTGATCCCAATTGGGCGCGCTTATTGTTCTTAATATAGTGTGCAAGATAAGCTGCATCATCCTTGCATGCGTTTTCCCCCCGGTAGTATTATCGATATTCTATTTTTGAATTTGTTAATTGCTGATTATTATTAATTAATAATTTATTGACTGATACATCCGACGCCTTCAACGAGGACAATAAAGGGGAAGGAACAGGGATGTCGATGACGAACACCCCGTTAAAATTGTGACGAAGATTTTCAATCCTTCGGGGTGTTTGTAGAATTTTTGAAACCTCCTGTTAACTTCTGGTTTTTAATTCCTTAATAGATTTAGGTTCTTAGATTGATCAATCTACGCTGAGAAGGAACTTCTTGTCTGCGGATCGATCGGGGAACCATGGACTCCATAATGAGCAAGCTCCGTAATCTGGATGCCTATCCCAAAATCAACGAGGATTTCTACAGCCGCACCCTCTCCGGTGGCCTCATCACTATTGCCTCCTCCGTCCTCATGCTCTTGCTTTTCATATCCGAACTTCGTACGCCTCCTTCTACTCCATATTCCTTCTTCTCTCTGTTTTTTTTTTTGTTTTCATCTCTCTCTCGTTCTCGGTTGAATTATCCAGGTATTTCTTCTCATTGCTTTATTAGAGTGCCAATTTCCTTTGTTTATTAATCCTGAACATGAATAGAGACGCCCCCTTTTGTGCGCGCGCGGGGTGTGTGCGCGTGTTTTTTTTTTTTTTTGGGGGGGGGGGGAGTTAGACAGTCTGCTTTGTTTGATTGAATTCTAGATTTTAAGTATCTTAATTTTCTCATTCAGAAGAAATGACATTCATGTTAACATATGTCCCGAGTCTACTAGGTAGCCCGAATGCATTTTTTATCGGGGTTATTGGGTGGCACATTAAGCTTATCCATGATTCTTATTGTTGATATACTACCTTGCTTCATGCAAATGCCTGTCAGAATGGATACGGCCTTCCCTTTTTCGCTCTGGGGTTGGTTTCTTCTTTTAGCTAGTGAGTCACTTTGTTGCCGACGACCTGGAACCCCTTTTAGCTGGATTTAGAATTCAGCTTTAACAAAGTTCTCCTGGGGCCTTCTTACAATCACGGTTTAGGATCAATTTGTTTTTTTTTTTTTTTGGTAAATAATAATGAAGCTAAATGGATTTTTTTCATCTTAGTTTGGCTGACATTTGGAGCTACCAACTTTTATTTGCACCATCACTTATTTCAATTTGATGTATTCAAGTTGAGAAGTGTTAATTGAGTTTAAGTTCTCGAAATTTCTAAATTTCAAATGAACATTGTCCTTTACCACCTTTAATAGGGTATAATTGATTTTCTTTAATTTTCTCATTTTTGTGTGCTTCTTTGTGGCCTGAGTATGCTGATGATGTGCTTATACTTTGCGTTTCTCATTGGTCCAGGATTGTATCTTCATGCAGTAACTGAGACCAAACTAATTGTAGATACTTCAAGAGGAGAGACTCTACGTATCAATGTAATCTCGTCTCTCTCATGGAATTACTTGATAGCCATTTAGAATTTTGGGTTTCTCATTGAAACAGTGATTTTCTTTGCCATATTTCGTGTATTTAATCCATCTTGCGCTTTGGAGTATTTAATCCATCTTGCGCTTTGGAGCCTCCTTTAAGTTTCTTTTATTCCTTTGATTACACTTTTTCTTCCAAAAACTTCCAAGGTTTTCATCATATGCTGTACCATATCTTGCCATGCGTTATAGGCAGGTTTCGTCCTTTGCACACGTCCGCATGCATAAATTTGCTACAGAACTTAATTGATTTTAGTCAATTTGCTGTTGAAACTGCAGTTTGATGTTACATTTCCTGCCCTACCTTGTTCAATACTCAGTCTAGATGCAATGGACATCAGTGGAGAGCAACATCTAGATGTGGTACGTATTCTTATTAAGTTTTCCCCCTTAAGTTTCTTGGGGACATTGAACAAAAGGTATATCATATTTTTCACCTTTTGATTGTTAATCAAGTTCTGACAACATTGTTTGCATTTTCCCCAACACTCAGAAACATGATATTGTCAAGAAAAGATTAGACTCTCATGGGAATGTAATAGAAACAAGGCAAGATGGGATCGGTGCCCCCAAGGTAACTTGTATAGATTTTGGAACCAATTTTCTATTCAAATACCTTTTCATATGAATTCATTTTGGGCATTATATGCTGATTTCTTGTTCTTATTTTATTTTTTTACCGGCTGGAGTTAATTTGATCTGATATAATTAACACCTGATCTTGCTTAGAAATGTCTGAATTGAACTGATCTCTTGAAAGGAAAAGTTTTTACAACTAATCATTTAATCATAAGAGCTTCTCTTTCAATATGCTTTTGTTGTCTTCTTATGGCTAACTCACAGTGCTTGAGTTAGAATGTTTTAAAGCTTAAGATAGAATTTCTAACATCCTTTTTTGGCTTTCTGTGCACATTTTGCTTAAAACTGTTGTTTGCACAGATTGAAAAGCCTTTGCAAAGACATGGAGGCAGGCTTGAGCATAACGAAACATATTGTGGTTCCTGTTATGGTGCTGAAGCGGTATGTAGGGATCTTTTAATCCATTACTTTATTTAAAACTGGGATTGGATATTGTTTTGAAATTATGCTTACGGAGGACAAATGATATTTCGACCTATTGTACCCCCAAAATCTTAAGCACTATATATCTCTTCTGGTTTGGTAGTTGTTCATTATATATCAATTGTCACCTCCCAACCCTCTCACTCCTTCTCGCTGCTGACTGAATTTTTCCATTGTAGGTTACTTCATGATAAATTTCTTAATTGTAACGTTCCTGCAGTCACATTTTTTATATTTATGAAGCTCGTGTTCCATGATTGTATTTTACAGACAGATGAAGATTGTTGTAATTCCTGTGAGGAAGTCCGCGAAGCTTACCGGAAAAAAGGTTGGGCAATATCAAATCCAGATTTAATTGACCAGGTCTGTTAATTTGGCAGATTGGCTTTCAATTTAATGACTGTCCTGGAAACCTTAAAACAGATTTGTTGACCCATATATATGTTTTCTTACTTCTTACTGGCTAAAGTACGGATTCCTGTTCTTTAATATTTGGGTAGCATGCTCAAATTTTCATTTTCTGTGTCAGAAGTCACCTGGCTCCAATTTGAGCTCAAAAGATGTACAGATTACACGCACATACCTTAGCTGGTTATGAAATTTTGAGATGCTAAAGTTCCCTATCTGTGAACTATATTGGACATCCTGATCATTCTGTGGCTGAAACTGGTTTCAATTGATATTCTTTACAACATGTAACACGGGATGCATTAATTTGAGTTCAGTTTACTGCTTTTTCTATTGTAGAAGAGTAACTTTTCTCCCATCAGATTCATTCCCTTCTTAATAGCTATCTTATTGTTGGAAAATAACCAATGTTAGTTGCATATATTCATTCACCTTTGTTGATGATGAGATGGGTCTCACTTGTCCATGTTTTGATTGACTATCATGATTTTTCAATATCTTCATTGTGATTCATATGTTTTGAAATTCTTGTAGTCATTTTGAAACCTTGATCTTCTTTGCAGCCCCCCCCCCCCCCGGGTTCCCATCTTCTTCAGTATGCATAAAAACTATTAGATCTGTAGTATTGGGTAATGCCAAAGATCCCAAAATGACAATCATCTGCCACGGTTGAGTTGTTGATGACATTAACTTCGTTATATGTTTGTTTGATCATGTTAGTGCAAAAGAGAAGGATTTTTGCAAAGGATCAAGGACGAAGAAGGTGAAGGATGTAATGTCTATGGATTCTTGGAAGTAAATAAAGTGGCTGGAAACTTCCATTTTGCCCCAGGGAAGAGCTTTCAGCAATCTGGTGTCCACGTGCATGACCTGCTTGCTTTTCAAAAGGACTCTTTTAATGTACAACACTATTCATTTCTTTTGGTTGGGTAAAACTTGGTGCAAATAGCCTTTTTTTTTTTTTGAGCGAAACAAATAGCCATTATTATTTTGTATATTTTATAACTTATTTTGTATATTTTATAACTTATATTAAGTATCCAAAATAGGAGATGTCAGGATAAGGCCTTTTGTTTTCCTTATTCTTTTTCCTTATAAATTTTCTCTCTTGTGCTCCATCTTATAAGACCTCTTATTTGTTTATGAATGTGATACAGATAAGTCACCGAATTAACAGATTGGCTTTTGGAGAGTATTTCCCTGGTGTTGTGAATCCGCTGGATGGGTGGGTTCTTTTTGTTGTTCATATTTGCCCCATAGTTCAGTTACTCTCTCGTACATGAATTTTTTATTCTAATACATTCTGATGTTCTCTTGATTATCAGTGCGCATTGGACACAACAAACACCAAGTGGAATGTATCAGTATTTTATAAAGGTTAGCAGCTGGGATGCCCTAAATACTACAAACTCCTATGATTATATACTTATCAAAATCTGGTCCAAAAAAAAAAAAACTTATCAAACGAAGCATAACAAGTATGGTATTATTGAATAAATTTCGAGTTTTAATGTCTTTTGGTTAAGTTACTTTTCTATTCGTCTGATTAATAATAATTGCCCTTCTGTCACTGTGTTTTATTCTTTAAAAGGAAATGTGGATTAATATTTATTGCTTCTGTCAGTGGTTTATGTCTTATAATTGTTAATTCATTGTTTATGAAAAAGCTTTAGATTAAAATCACAATTGTTCATACTCCCTCCATCTTAAATTACAAGACACTTTTAAATAAAATTTTAAATATTAATAAAGCTTAGTAAATACACTTTACAACTTTACTTTTTTAAGACAAAAATATAAACTTTTAAAAATGTCCTTTATTTAATACTTCATTGATGAAAGAATATTGAAGAGAGAATATATGGGATGGGTAATATTGAAAAAATATCATTAATAAAATCTTATTTTTATCAAAGTGTCTTATATTTTGGGACGCCAAATCTTCCCTAAAAGTACCTTATAATTTGGGATGGAGGGAGTATCAATTTTCATCTTGTGATTTGTCTCTACTTATATACTTGTCTTCACGCCTAGCTAGATGCTCGCTGTATTCTATAATTTCTTTCTTCCGTTTTCTTTTCTTTTCTTTTTGTATTTTGATAGATGTGTTGTATAATTTTTAGTCCTGTCAATTTATTGCAAAGTAGCATGTTTCTTGCTCTTGCTTGAAACTTGATGTTACTAACCTCCCCCGTCTTGTTTACACATATTTAAAAGTTGATCAATCTCGTCTCTTTGAGCCTTTAGCTTGCCTACGATACATGTGTGAGCATTGGGATCTCCTCCTTTTTGGAGGGAACACGATCATCTTTCTTAACAATCCAGCATCATTGGATTGATCAAATAGTATTGAGCTGGCCACGTCCACGTCCCATAGAAATGCATAACAGGTGGTTTGTTTCATTAAAATTAAGAAGTCAAAGACAAAGAAGCCCCCTCTTCTACGCACCGCACTTTGTTGTTGCCATCTCTCTCTCTCTCAACCTAAATGATCTCTTCCTTTGAGCCAAGCTTCAAACCTCTGTAAAATATCCTTTCCAACTCTAAACTCTGTGCTGCTACCCCTTGCAAGTGGTTTGGTGTCACACCTGACCAACTCGAGCTATGTCACCGTCTTAACTTTTTTGATGGACCCTCCTCCATCATCCTTTTCTGGGCACATCCTATATGACTGGTTGCATTCTGACTTTTAATCAAGCAAACTATTCTTTTTGTGATTCTTTTGGGCATGATGCGCTCAATTGTGTTGGGTCAATCCAGTGGTGCTGAATTGCTGAAAAGAATGGTCATGTTCCCTCTAAAGAAGGAGGGGATCCTGAAGCATTTTTAAGGCGGGGAGACCAGTTTGATGTTTTTTACTAGATGTTGTGATATATACTATTTCCTTTTGGAAAATGATCTGGAAAGAAATATGCCACGTATGGAATACTCCCAACTCTGCAGGCTTTTGGGTTAAACGTTACATGCTATATTCTTTAATTTATTGCAGAACTTTTCCATTTTTCTTTCTCTTCTCGACATCTCTATGTTGTGTGTTGAGTTATTCAATTTTGGCATTTTCCTTTCCTTTGCAAGAGTTGAAAATGATTAAGGAGGTAATATATGAATACCAAATTTCTGTTTGTTTGATGTTTTGTTAGGTTGTGCCTACTGTATACACTGATGTCAACGGGCATACAATCCAATCCAACCAGGTTCATAAACTCAGATGTCTTTTTATGACATTTATTTTGTATGCTAACGAGCTAGACATTTTACAACTAGAAATGGTTTTGCAGTTCTCTGTGACAGAACACTTGAGGACTGGAGATGTGGGTCGTCTTCAGTCCCTGCCTGGAGTTTTCTTCTTCTATGACCTTTCCCCAATTAAGGTGATGCTATTTATTGTGAATTTTCATCGTTGAAATACTGAATAGATAGAAAAATATGCAATTATGTTTTTGCATGAGGGTGTTTTATATGCGCTTGTGTTCATTATTCTTCTCTTTATATTGTTTCTGATTGTATAAAAGAGTTGTATATTGCAGGTTACTTTTAGTGAAGAGCATATCTCATTCTTACACTTCCTCACTAACGTGTGCGCCATAGTTGGAGGTATAGATTGAACCTCCCCTTACAGCACCCATCTCTTTCTTGCGTTGCTTAAATGAATTCAAGATCCAATTTTACTGTCAGTTTTCTAATCTGTCGCAACTATATTACCCGTTTGTTGCTGCATACAGGTGTTTTCACGGTTTCTGGAATACTGGATTCGTTTATCTACCATGGTCAAAAGGCAATCAAGAAGAAGATGGAACTAGGCAAATTTAGCTGATAATTGGTCTATTGTAGGTTGAACTGGCGTTATTTGATTAATTTCCGCTGAAAGGCTTCATGGAGATTGATCAATTGGGGAGAAGATCGACTATTGAATGAAATTCTCTTTTGGTTTTCCCGAGTTCTTTCAGACTCAACGAAAGGATTTTGCCAATAGATCTGTTGTCTATGAGAGGTTAAAATGCTTAGATCATACATGTGCAGCAAATGCCTTGACATTCACTTTCTGAAGCAGCTTTAATGATGTGAATATTACATCTTTAATCTGGATGATAGACGGGTAGAGGGTGATGAGGTGATCGTTCATGGCAGAATTAAATTCCCGAAGGGCTTAAAAGGAAATTTTGTCTTGGAGAATATAATCCTTAATTAAAACGATAATCTTTAACTTGAGGTGACTCTGCTGCTGCGTGTAGTATGATTTTCTATAGCTAACCATGTGGCATTTCCAATTTATTTGTTTTTCTTGATGAGTTCAACGCATCGAAAACTCGTCATATCTTTCTCATTTTTGAAGATGGGCGACACTATGATGTAGATAAGTAGATTTTAAGTTTGATCCTCGTGATGCTTTCAATCTTATAAGACTCACCTGTTACTTCTAAATACACGGTTTTTTCATAAAATTTAGTCTAATATTTGATGACTCACTAATACTCGTAATTTTTACTCTTCACTTAATTGTTAGCTTTTTCATCCTCTCGCTGACTCTTGCCCCTCTATCAATTACATGGTAATTTTGAAATGTAAAGTGGTGAAGTTCGATCCTTATATTATTGTTACTCTCTTGTCTCAATTTATAAGGTATTTTTAAATAAAATTATATATATAAGAAAATTCATTAAATATATTTTATAATTTTATTTTTTTAAAAAAACGTAAACTTCTAAAAATGAATTTTATTTAAAATTAAATTTGTAAAACAACGTTAAAAAGAGAATATAATGAAAAAAAATATTAGATAAGTATTATTAATGAAATTTTATTTTTATTAAAATATTTTATATTTTAAAACGTTGAAAGCTGAAACTTCTCTGTAAGTATCTTACAAGTTGAGATATAAGTAGCATTTTGGCACATGATCCTCATATCAACACACCAATCCAAATATGAAAGAATAATATTAAAATCTCAAAACAATGAATTTATGACAATGAAGCCCCTGACAAATTTTTTTGAAAAATCAATTATAAATATGCATTCAGATATTTGTAGATTTAGGAATTCTAATTGTAAATAAGACATTTAAGTTTTATATATAACTCAATTTGGAATTGAGATTTCTGTTTTTAACTGTGATAATTTGCAATTTTATACTTTTTTATAAATTTAATTTAGATTTTTTAATGTTTATTTGAGGGTAAGTGAATTTAATTGAATATTATTTAATTTTATTAGCTAATCTTTAACTTTTGAATTTTAACAACCTAAATCTTGAATTTTAAAATATAAATGATCCCTTTGATATTTTATACAATTGCTACTTAAATTTACTTTATTTGTGTAAATTTTTTTGATCTCCCAATTCAGGAAGACAGAAATCGCTAATAGGGTTGGTCCAACCAAGAAAAACATGGGAAAAGAAAGATGCATAAACGAAAGAAAAAGAGATTTTTGGTGTTTTTCTCATTGAAGGGCGTACTCCTTATTGGGACATTTTGAGCAGGGCTGCTTGTAGAATAGAATTGATTGTTTTGAGTTTCGGTTGGTGATCCGTACCAAGCGATGTAATTCAATTTGAAAAATATTGATGAAGATTGTAACATTTCAAAAAAAATTTCCATGATTTATTAATGTAATGAAGCATAATTGTGTAAATTTAAGTATAATTGAATTTGAAGATAGTTAGATATGATTATTGGGTTTGGCTTTAGCATTTGAATTGAGTTCGAAACTACTAAATTGGTCACTTGGGCTCAAATTGTAGAAAAAATTATATTTTTAGCCCACTGTGCATTACACTACAGCATAAAAATTTATACTGCAACATAATTTTTGAATTATTTTTTAAATGCAAATTAATTCAAAAACAAAGAGTTAGACTAAAAAACAAAGATAGTGCGACCAAGAGAGTATTTTCTTTGCTAAGGTATCAACTTTTGGGCATTTTTAAAGGTGTTTGGAGTTTGGTTTCACTTAAATATGCCTTCCTCATCTCTTCTTCTTCCCGCTACACGTTTTTAAGGTATGATTTAAAATTAGGAGATGATGATTTTTAGATTTAAGGCTATAAGTTCAAACTCATTAGTCTAAATGAGACTAATAAGAGTTATTTAAGTATTCTATACATAGTTTAAAAATTTTCACAAGGCTGTAAGCTTGGGTCATCCATTTTAGATGAACCCTAGACCTCCAAAGTATGATTTTAGATTATTAGGTGTTATATTAATAATCATTTAAGTTAGTGAAATGTAAATAGAGCTAATGAGAATTAATAAACTTAATGGTTATGCTTAAGTGTAAGAAATTAAAATTTTGGGTAATTAAAGTGTTGATTTATGGAAGTTGAAAGAGTGTTTATGATGATATTAATGATGATTGGTATGATTAATAATAAATCAATCATCTTGTGTACCATTCAAGCTTTGGTATAGCATATGAAAAACTTTTATTGAGGAGTAAACCTTTAATTTTTTAAAGGTTTGAGATAAGTGGAGAAAAATCTAATTTGTATAGTTCTTTGCTAATTAACTATTTGTTGAATTAAATTATTTAAAACTTGTTGGGTGATTGAAGATCCATTGATTCAAATTTTGGCAATGTGATGGATTATGTGTGTGAAATTGTGATGGATTGTTGAGAACATATGTATGTTTATACATATGTGATTAATGATGATAATTGAGAGCATGTTATTACGAACATGATGAATATGTGATATTTGGCATGTACAGTATAATGGAAAAGGAAAATTGTGTGAATATGATGTAATGTAATTAATGTCATTAAATAGCATATAAATTATCAATTTGTGTGTGGCATAATCATTTAGGTAGGAGTTCGCCTTTAGGAAGAATAGTTATGTTAAACCAAGTGTTAGTGGCAGCTTACTGTCAGGATCAAAAGCTTGCCTTGACATTGACCGTTAGAATTGAGAAGTAGCTATTATCTCATAATTGATTTGAGACTATCCCACTTATTCTTTGAGAGACTTAAACGTAACTAGTCTCCTCTAATTCATGAGGATGCTAGATTAGAGATGCGGCACCCCATGATTGTTAATATTAGAAAAAATCATTGATCACAAGTGAGTGGGTTTACCTTGGCTCAGTAGCTCCTCATGAATGAAAAGTTAGGTTAGTTTAAGTTGAGGATGTAGCCATTGAATAGCCATCGGTTTCATGTTTGAGATATCAGGAGGGTATAAGGTTGGCATTGATAATGGATTCTATTTTTGATCACATGGTTGTTATTATTGTGATATAACATATTTTCTATTAGGGGAGCATGGTCATTATTATTGCGACCCCATGATGTGCATTTTGAAATTATGTGATGATATATGTTCATGTCCAGTTATATGGTTGTTAGTTTTGTGGCCAAGACTATATTCGAAATATATGCATATGATGTTTGTGAAGTTATTAATTTCTATTTGAATCTATAATTAGTTGATATGCAATTATATAGATTAGATTGACCTTAATTACTGAGTAATTATACTCTTCCCTTTCTCTTCAATATTACAGAAACTAACTCATCAGGATAGGATTGAGGGAAACAGTTAGAGGGTTAAAATTTCTATCCTAGATTTGTAGGCCTCATTTATTTAAGAGTTTATGTGTATAATTTATCTTAATAATGCCAACTAGGAGATTGCATGTTTTCACTTACTTGCATTATCTTATTCTCAATCTAACTTGTGTATTTTGGGCTTTAGATTGTATGTAAATTAATATAAAATCTAAATAGGGCAAAAATATTTATGCAAATAAAGAGTGAGTGTATTTGTGAATGATGGTGATTTAGATGTATGATTACATGATTGAGACTCCCTTTGTCATTTTTTAAATTAAGAGGTTGAGCGTTGAAAATGTATTGCATGTTATTGACGTGTTGTGATGTGTTGCATAAGTCTTGTTAAGTCTATTGAGTATGATCTAGGAGTAGTTGTGAGATTATGGCACTTGATTGTAATTTTATACACCCTAATTATGTTTTGAGAGCATAAATGGGTGAGTTTACATTCTAATGTTTAACTTTTAATTGATAAATGATTTGAAGGTGAAACTAGTGCCATTAGCTAGATTTTAGAGAAAACTTTTTATAAACACTTAGATCACCTCAATCGGATATTAAATGAAGAAATGGGACTTGTCAGAAATTCAATTAAAAAATTTGCCATGATGGCTTTTGGGTTTCTGCATTTTATGTCACTTTATGCTATAACGTATTTTGCTAGAATCACTATTTTTGCTCTTTTGATTTAAATTTAATATCATCTTACCTTATATGATGATCATGCTTTTGTATACATTTTTTTCTTATTTTTATTTATGAAATAATTCTTTTTAGCATGTTAAGTTTTGAAAATTTGGGATTCTATTTATGTAAATTTTACAAACATGATAATTTACTTGAGTTAACCTTGTAATTACCTCGATTACGGAGTTAATTGTGAATTTCTAAAAGAAACCTTACAAAGATTATTTTGGATAGAAGAACATAAGTATATTTGAAGATTAAGGTCAGAATCAAATTTTACAAAACTTTATTTATGTTTATTTTAGGTTGTTTAATGTGGTTTTCAATTAGGATCATTAAAGATAGTTTTGTCTTTTTATTAAATTATTAGGTTTTATTTATGAAGCGGGGAGCACATGACGGGAGGCACGCAACACTTTCGAATTGAATTGGAGACGAGCAAAGGCGATCATGCTTTGTTTTTTTTTTTTTTTTTACTTTTGTTTCAGTTTCTTTGGGTGATAGCTTCTCATGATCTCATGCTTTCATGTCATGCTGTTTGATTTTCAGAGCTATGAAGAATTTTATGTTTATTTTTTTGTGATCAATGATTAACTATGATTCTAATCTGTATTCAGAGTCTTTAAGTCACGTTTACTTATTAAAATAAAATGGAATAAAATAGGTTAAAAAAATAAAAATAAAAATAAGATAGTCAAAGAGAATAGGTGATCATATTCATAAGGGGATGTGTAATTTAGCTCATAAGATTTAAAATTATGATTCATGATATTTTTGAAAGGTGTGATGATTTTACATTTTTAATATATATTAATAAGTTTTATCATACTTAATATGGAGGAAGGATGATGTAATTCATTTTTGTCCTTATTTTTTTAATCCATTTTATTCTAGTAAGCAAACATGACCTTAATATTCATGAAAGATTTTATTTTATCTTTATTCTAATTTGATCTTCTCTCTAT